ATTTTCTTTCATCCATGTCATAGTGTGATAAAATTTCTTTAAATTTAGAAAATTTCCAGATATCTTGCTGTCATTGATTTCAATTTAAGTCTCTGTACACAAGAAACACATTCTGTATTGCTTACATCCTTTTACACTGAGGGAGATTTGCTTTATGTCCTAGCATTTGGTCTATCACAATAAATAGTTCATATGCCCTTGGAAAAAAAATGTACATTCTTTTGATCCTGGGTGTGCTTTTTATAAATGTCAGTTAGGGCAAGTTGGTTGATAGTGTTGTTCAAATCTTCTAGATCCTAAATGATTTTATTTCTATCTGTCCTATAACTAATAAAATCATTTTGTTGGAGACATCAATGTTTCCATTCAGTTCTTTTATTTTTTACTTTGTGCAACTTGAAGCTTTTTTTTTTTAGGTGCAAATACATTTAGGAATGTTATGTCTTCTTGATGAATTGCTCTTTAAGACATTGTTTAATGCTCTTATATTTCTCTGTTAATATTTTTGCCCTGATGTCTACTTTTACTAATGTTAATATAGACACTCTGATTTTCTTATGTTTGGTGCTTGCGTGCTATTATGGTTAAACCTGCAAAAGCCAGAATCTGTGTAAGACAGAAACCTTTCTGAGAAGGAAAACACAAACATTTTGCACTACAACTGCTTCATCCTAATAAATACTCTCTAAAGCCAGAACTGTGAGAAGATGGAATAAGAAAACTGTTAGTATTGCAACTCAAATACACAGAAGTGAAGATGCAAAAGCTAGACATAGTAGTCTTCCATCTTTTTCCATTTTTGTTGTCTGTGAGTGCATACTTTGTGCATCACTATTGGTCTGTGAATACACCTTTTCTTTACATTTTTGCCTTTTTAAATTCTATTTTGACCTGTAAACTTTATTCAGCTTAGAACAACACCCACAAGTTTGGAGAAGAGAAGAGAAAGTAATGATTTCGTTTATTTTCATTAAAATCTAGCAAACCACATTCCCGCACCCCCTTATCTTGAAATGTTTATTCTTTGTTTAATTTTCAGTTTTCTTTTTAGCTATTTGTTATTGATATACATTATTAAAATGTTAAAATCTTTTCTTTTCCTCGATATTCTTTC